ATATTAAAAGAGAAATCTGTTATTTTATGGGCTGCCGGCCATTTAGGATTTCGTTGTTGCGTGGCCGGCAGTCGGTTCAAGTTCGCACAATGTCTATAAGTGCAACGAATTTCTGCGCGACGTTTATGTAAGTTTTAACACACTCATTTTACTCGTAGAGTTTTATTTTGGAGTTTGGAAGCTCGTTTAGATAATAAGAGTGGGAAAAAACACATTTTATGGGCTGCCGGCCATTTAGCATTTTCAAGACCTTGACCGGTAACCGGCCATATAGACACAGCGTTTTAAATATCTCTTAAACCTGCAGCAGATTGTTATTAAAAAAAGGATTAGATAAACAAATATAAAGATATAATCACCGCCACGACACGGTACGACCACAGCACGAAGATGCACAGTCATATAAATTCGGCTCTTATTTCCGGCATAAATAGTGGACAGTCGAGTATACGCGTAATCCGGCATATTAATGGCCTCATTTAATGAGAATGCACAGAAAGGGAAAGCATATTTACAAGAGAGTTTAACGTTGGCTGATATTCATCGATAGGCAACCAATCAAAGAACGCGAAAGTATGTATTCAAGTCTAAAATTATACTAATATACTTTCACATTTTTTAAAAAGTTTATCCAAGGATTGTATATCACTCACCCAAGATAATCAAACCTAATGGTAGCACTGTGGAACTGAAATGCAATGCAACTGGCGATCCAGAACCATCAATCACCTGGACAAAAGTAGGAAATAACTCCGTATTGACCAATTCTTCACTGATGACAGTGAATATCACTCAACAAGCATTTGGAGAATATTGTTGTATTTCTGCCAACAAATATGCAAATGATACAGCATGTATAGAGATTGGAGGTATAGTACTATTGTCTTTTATGTACTAGTTTACCTAAAGGGTATGAAAGTCAGTGCTGCCCGGTAGCTTAATTCTGTTAATTGCCACCGTGTGATCGGCGTTTGATGTGTTGCATGACTTCACTCTAGTATATGCGGTTTTGCTGCATTTGTATTACTTGCACATGGAAAATCTTGTCCCGAATGTTATTCTGTTGTGAACCCTTATTGCAACGTCTTTTATAAATCGACAAGGGGGAAAAACAGACGTTTTCAGTATAATTCAAAATCATTTATTACAAAAAATTAAGTGTCAGATTCAAWTTTTTYATACCATAAAAATCAATAAAAACTACTCTTGGCACGGACGGCAATCATATTTGGTTCAAGAACTACATTTGATTCAAATAAAAGCCAGCGCAAAGTGATTTTAATGATGAATATCGTTACAACTGGTTTTATGTGGCAAATAAAACCGGATGTAACGCAGGCTATTCCTGGCCAGACCGTAAAAATCAGCAACCCGATCATTTGAATGAGTTTCGTAAAAAAGGCCTTACGTTCTAATTCACTTTGTTCAAACGAACGTAAATTATTTTCTCTCTATATTAACACAGTAAATAACGATCGATTTTTGATGGTTTGGTTGCTCAGGCAATCGAACAACTTGTGATTTATTCTATTGTAGTACAATAATATGATACAATAGTGTTATAATTCACGCGTTATGTATTACATCTATGATGAAAGGAAACCTTAAATACTATACATATCATATATATTATAATTCACGCGTTATGTATTACA